CTCTGTTTCCTCACTGGTCTGAGTTAATTCTCCTTTTTCGTTGGCCAAGAGTGCTCCTTCTGTTCTTAAGACTTCAGCTGTCATCCCTACACAATTGATCCTAAGACACTAAAAGTTACGTTTCAAGTGTGCCCAGATACTCACTCCCGTTGAAAAGCAACATATTAGTTTCTTCCCAGCCTGGGAACCTGAATGACTCAGCATGATTCTATTTCAAAAGAGAAAAAGTAAACTATGGTTGAGGGCGTAGCTCAGTGTCCAGGCTCTAGGTTCGATCCCCAGTACTGTATGAAAGTCAGAGTAACGTCCTGAATACTTACCTAAGAGAAATGCTTATGTCTCCAACAGCATTTTCTCACTCAAGTCCCACTTCACTGCCTCCAGGGACCCTGAGCTGTGGACGTGGAGCCCAAAGCTGCACCTTGACCTCACCGGGTGGTGCTCACTGCCTTGTTTCTCCAGGCAGATGCAGCCTCTGCCGCATCAGCTCTGCTGGCAGGAGTGCCATTTTGCAAGTAACCTATATTTAATAATCTGACACAATCCTGTTTTCTTTCAAAATATCCAATATCCATCACCTCCTTTTCCACAAATCCTACCCACTTGTTCCCTTTACTCCATTCTGGCTCTGATGTGTGATGACAATGGCCTTGCTGACCCTGCCCTGTCCATTGCTGTCTATCTAGCCAAATCCGATCACCATCTAGGATCCTTTTCTTTTCTTTTTTGATACTGGGGATCGAACTCACAACCTTGTGCTTTAAGATCCTTTTTTATACACTGCTTCTTCTATAAACCTTTGCTGACTATTCTCACCCAGGTTAGTATTAGTACAACTAAGTGTTAGTTATTGTTTAGCCTCTGTTTAGAAATTCTATCTCTCCCCTTAGCTGTAGATTTCTTGTTGCCAATGCCCTTCCTCTAGTTCTTGCATTCCTCAAGAGTTTGGCATAATCTTGGCAAGTAATAGGTGTTCAATAAATCTTGCACTGATTTACTGTTCCTTAATTTAACAAATACTCATTGACTGAATACATTGTTGGTTGAATAAATCAAAGATTGATTTGTTGATCGATTCTATTGATTCAATTTGGTACTATGCTCAGTCCTTTGCATACTAATTGAAGAGGCCAGGGGCACTAAAATTTTATTTCCCTCCATTTCCAAACTATATTTGGAACCCCATAAATAAACTATTGGGCTGAAACTATCTCTTCGATTGCTTCTAGGTGCAATTATATGAGCAGAACGTAAGGGCCTGAATGCTAATGTTAGAGTGAACCACTGCCCAATGGTTTTGGCTTTGAAACATCAAAGAGATGGTATAAATCTCAATGAAAAGGTAAATTAAGCTTTGGCTCTCTTCCTAGAAGTGACACATTAAACAGAAGATCATTTTTCTCTTTAAATTAAGAGGCAAATAATATTTTAGAACCCAGAACAAGTGGTGCTGCCAAATTTGGATCCTACTTAGCACAAAATAGCTTTTAAGGATTAGATGAAAAATAAGAACCCTGGTTGTTTCTATTATGTCTTGAAGAGCTTCGTATCTTTCAAACTACACAGTCCTTTATTAAATAAAGTCTATACTTTGCTAAAACTGTTCACCTCATGCCATTTAACTCCAACTCTAACAGAAGTGTTGCTGCGGGCTGAATTTTGTCTCTAGATCCATCTACTGAAGGCTTGGCCTCAGCACATCTCAGAATGCAACCGGAAGGGAGAACCCTTAAGGGATGGTTGAAATGATCATTTATGGCTGCCCAATGTGACTGGTGTCCTTAAAGAGGAAATCTGGACATAGAACGCCTCCGTCAGATCCTGGAGAAGGTAACCGTCTACAAATCAGAGACAGAGAGGGGGCTGAGGAGAAACCAACCCGACTGACACATTGGTCCTAGACTTCCAGACTCTGAGGCATAGGAAAAATGAATTTTTGTTTTTGAAACCCTCCCACTGTGATATTTGTTATGACAATCCAGGCTGACTTACACACATAACAGCACAAGTGTCTCCTTACTAGACGTAAGTCCTTGACGACAGCTGTAGCATTAGTGACGCTTCTTACAGAATTAATAATTGCACTTACATAATGTTATGGGAGTGACCTCGCAGCTTGTTTAATTAGCTTGTTTTTGGAATATACATTGCCTGAATATCTACTGTATGCTTGGTGCTATATGCTTGGTACTGTATGCTGAATAAGCTAATTGGTACTAAGATGAGCAAAACAGAGATTCTATATCCATCTATACCTTCTATATCTATATTTATATATAGATATTATATCTATCTATACAGATATAGATAGATAGGTACAGATATAGGCATTAGGTCAAGGTACAGCTTTATAAAGTGGGAGGAAGTGGTGATATGTAAATTCCAATGAATTTTTCATTCTTTCAAATAAAAATTTAAACTATCTTTTTTTTTTTTTTTTTTTTTTATCAGTACCAGGGATCGAATTCACAACTGCCTGCTTGCAAGGCAGGCACTTATGACGCTGAGCTAAATCCCCAGCCTCGTTAAACTATCTTTTAATTCCAAAGTTATAGAATTAAATACTTGCTACACTGCCTTGCCGAGAAGGTGTCTGATTTCTGCCATGCTCATAAACATCTCTTCCTGAGCACTGATCAGCCCAGGCTGACTGCATGTTGCTAACATCTTGAGTCTCACTCTGACATGTACTCATCCTGACATGTACCCATGTAAAATACAAACAGGCATTTCATCCAGCTTTTTTGAAAATGTAACAAACAAAGTAGACACTTAGGAAACACACTCAGTATGCAAGGTCAGCCTAGTGTGCAACAGAGCACCAGAATTTTTTTTTTTTTTTTTGGTCTTTTTTCCTTTTTATTGGTACCGGGGATTGAACTCACGACCGCCTGCTTCCAAGGCAGGTGCTTATGCTGATGAGCTAAATCCCTAGCCCCAGAGCACCAGAATCTAATGCTCAAGTGTGCAGACCATTCTCTTCCCATCTCTGCCTCCTTCTCCCTTCCCCAGCTTCTGCCAACCACGATCTACTTTCTGTTCCCAAGAGGTAAGGTTTTCTTGATCCCACAAATTGTGGGGAGAGTTTGTTATGGTTTAGATTTAGGCTGTCCCCTTACAAGCCTTCTGTGGTCAGAGGTGGGGCTTGGGAAGTTGGTTGGATCCTGGGGTGCTATATTCATCAGTGGATTCCTCCACTAGGAAGTTCAGTGACTGTACACACTCTCCAGAGGCCTGGCCTGACCTAGAGGGTGCATTTCCTTTCCTGGCTCCTCCTTGTTCTCTCTGCTTCCTGGCCACCATGATATGAGTAGATTTCTTCCGCCAGACCCTTGCAATACACTTCTCCTGACCTGGAACCAGCTGACTATGGACTGAATCCTCTAAAAACCATGAGCCAAAATAAACCTCTCCTTTCTGTTGTGGGTGCCAAGAATCTTGTCCCACTTATGAGAAAGTGACTAAGGCAGGTTATCCCATGGCCATAAAATTAGATAGGAGAGATAAATTCTGTTACAAAATAGGGTCAGAGTTAGGGTTAACTAATGATAGTTAATAATAGTATGTGGCATATCTCAAAATAGCTGGAAAAGAGGACTTTTAATGTTTTCACCACAAAGAAATGGTAAATGTTTGAGGTAAAGGTGTGCTAAGTACTTTGATTTAACCATTATGAAATGTATATGTGTATCAACATAATACATTGAGCTCCATAAATATGTACGATTATTACATGTCAATTAAAAAATAAAATGAAAAGCACCACAGGTATATCTATGCAAATGTATATACATTGAAAGTGAACTAGGAGAATATACTGTAATCATTAGCAGTGATTGTCTCTGGGTAGAGGAAAGGTCAGGTTAGGGTCCCCCCTCCACATTATATCATATAGTGCTTCTCTTTCATGTGTTTCTGTTACCATCTTAGCTGCTGTGTAATATTGTCAGTGTTTATATGTCTGTCTCTCTTTCTTATATTCTGAACTTCATGATATTGATACCTGTGTCTGACACTCCATTAACAATAGAATAAGATCACATGCAGACACACAGACACAGACACAGACACAGACACACACACACACACACACACACACACACACACACACGGAACAATAACTACCATTCATGCCTGACTGCATGGATATGTCAGTGATAAGCTGAGGGCCTCCCGTTGAGGAGACTACACTGGGAACATAGAAAGGTGAGTTGGAGGAGCACCTTTGGGGTGGTGTGTCTCTAGTCATGGAGGTGAGAGGATCAGAGGGTTCCCAGTCTGTATAAGGAGCCACCCTTTTCACTGGTCATCTCAGTCTCATTCTTGCAGGTCACCTAATTATCCCCCATTCCCCACCTCATGATTATAACTTGTCTGGCCAAGCAGATTTGTAACCAAGGAACCTATCCCAGTCATCATCCTGGAGTTTGAGCATGATGTGTTTAATACGGATGAATCCATTAACAATCTAGTTTTTAAACACACGTTTCTTGTGATTCTGATTATCATCATGCAGGACCTTAGAGCTCCCCAAGACTGGACTGTAACAATCAAAACTGCACCCCCATTAAAATGAGAATTTCATTCCGGAATGGAAAACTGAGCCCATTTTCCATGAGGACTTGTGAAAGTCCCAGCTAGATTTCCAGTGGGTGCCTTGCAACAGAAGCCTTTCATGGTGGGAACCCCTGGGATGAAAGACTAGTCTCGCACTTCTGGTAGCACCTTCCTCCCGTAGTTGAAATAACCACTAGTTGAAATCGATGGCACAGATTAAAAATGAGTTTGGGATTCCATTTCTGGTACCTTTATTGTCTGGGAATATTGGTGGGCTATTGCTTTTCCATCTTGTCTCTTTACAAAGAGGAGTTGAAAAAGGTCACAAGCAATAAGTAACCTCAACCCCTCCTTCACTTCAAAGAGGAGAAGTGGAGTTAGGAGATTAGACCTTTCATGCCAATACTTGAGTTTGTGATGAACATTTGTGATACATAACCTACCTGTGACTGGTCTGGGCTGCAGACAAACTCCTCAGGTTCAAGGCAGCAGATTTTTGGCCTAAGGGAGAAACTAGAGGTTAGGGAAAGAGATAGGGTTTGTCCAAAGCAACACTGAGACCAAGAGAATGGAACACAACTGGGTGGGCATGTGGACTCACCTACAGCAAAATGGAACGCCTCTGGGCTGTGGGTTCTGACTATAAGCACAGGCCTTTTCTAGTCTAGGCCAGTTCAAGAATTGGAAAACTGAAGGATGCATGGCTCAGTTAAAAGACTCAAGCCTCAAATGCTGAGGGAAACTAAATGATGCCCTTGTGAATGTAGTAGGGCAGAAAATTTCATCTCTCCAGGCCAACTCCAGTAAGAAAGAGTGGGGACTAACACAGGCTAGGTGGGGCCTCTGGATCCTGGGAATGCAGAGTTGGGAAGCACACCATTGTGAACAATGGCTCTGAAGACTGAGTGCCAGAGTCTTTCCTGCTACCTGCGTGTTGTGGTTTGTGTCTGGATGTCCCCCAAAGCCTCATGAGGTCATAAGGGCAGGCTTTTTGGAGGCAGCTGAGTCTAGAGTTTGTGGCTGGCTCATTGTCTAGTGCTGGGGTTGGGAGTTTGAGTATTATACCCACCTTAGGGCTAGTCTGCATATAGTATAAGGCAGGGAAAGAGGCGCTCTCTCTCCTTTTTCACTCTTCTTGCTTTTGCCATCTTCCACCAGCCCAGCTGCCATGAACTGCTGCCCCTGTGCCTCAGAACCTTGCCTTGGGGCCAGAGGATTATGGACTGAAAGCTCCACAAACTGTGAGCTAAATAAACCTTTCCTTCTTTAACCTTGAGTGATGTGTATTTTGTCTCAGCCATGAGAGGAAAGTAACTAAGATATTAGCAATGTTGCATGGCCCAGCCTAGTTCTGTCTTAGAAAAACACATCTCAGGCCATTTTTAACCAAGATTCTTTGGCTAAAGATTAGACAGCTCTAGCCAGGAAGGGAAGGAAGGATACAAGGTACCTCAAGTGAAAGTCAACAGATACTCAAGGACCTAGAGAAAATGATACAAGTGAGGTTTTTTTTTTCTGAATGTAATATAAATAAAATAGTGACAGTCAGGATGGCTTCCACTTCTATAATGCTTACTGTGTGCCACAGCTTTGTGAAAATTGTCTTAGATCTACCTAATTCCTTTAATGAATTTTTCTCCTGTTTTACAGAAGAAGAGATTAATTTACAGGGATTATGTTGGTCAAGGTCATGTAACTAATAAGCAGGAAAATAATATATGAGTTAACACCACAGTTGTTTCCAAAACCTGTGTGGTTTCTTATTTTGGTTTGGTTTTTGGAGACAGGGTCTCACTATGTAATTTAGGCTGGCCTTGAACTCCCAGTGATCTGCCTGCCTCAGCCTCTCAAGTGCTGGGATCACCAGCATGCAACATCACATTGGTTCCCAAACCTATGATTGTAAATAAGATTTTTATTGGACACAGCCTAGTTCACTTGCTTGTTTCTTCTATGGCTACTTTCATTCAACTGTGGCAGTGTTGAATATCCATGAAAGGGACCATGTGGCCTCCAAAGTCTAAAATATTTATTTATGACATGGCCCAAATGGACACTGGATGCTCCCCTCCCCCCTTTTTTGATTGCTGCCTTTTGACAGATCATCGGAGGCCAACGCTCTCAGTGACGCTCTATGCAGATTTTGAGGCTCTTTATCCTTGTATCTGTTCAGCTCTTGACTGTGTCTCAGGACTTCTGTAGTCAGTATCTAGGCCTACAGACTTCCTATTGTCCTTCCTGCCCCAGTGTGTGGGCTTCTGATGACTCCTGCTGATACTGTCCAGGGTTTGGCCAAGGCTCAGGCATCACCAGCCAGTACTACTGATGCTGATACCAGGCCAGGTGGCACAAAGAAAAGCTGACTATTGGGGTGTGGTAGCCTAGGGAGCTGAAACCCAACAGGTAGGAAAAGGCTGGCTAATGTGTAGCTGGTGTCAGACTTGAGGGAAACTGAGAAAAATGTTCAGAAGGACTCAGCCAAAAAAGAGCGAAAAATGAGAAATGAGTTCTGGGATGCCGGGAGAGATACTGTTAGAATTCAGTCAGAATTCAAAGGATAAATAGAGAGAGAGAAGGAAAAAAAAAAAAGAACTGGACACATCAAAAAAAGAACTGGACATATCCTTTGACTGCCTGTAGTTGACTGCTGCTGGGGTGTGGTGAGGATTCCTGGCTCTTTCCTCACCCCCTCTGTCACCCTCTGGATGCTGCACAGGATGCAACACACATAACAGCTTCTTTTCTCTCATGGCAGCGTCTGAGAAGAGGTTCCCATGCCTGCACCCAGACCAGCAGCTCTAAACCCTTGCAGCTGGGGACCACGGATCACAACACACCTCAACATTCTGGAAAGTTCTGCCATGATCACAGCATCTTCTCTTGTACATGTGCCTGACCATTTTTATCCTCTATCAGTTATAATATTGTTCTAGGGTCCTGCTTGACATTCTCTCCCCTCCCCTCCCCTCCCCTCTGCTCTCTCCTTTCCTTTCCTCTCCTCTCCTCTCCTCCCTTCCTTTCTTCCTCTACCCTTCCTTTCTCCTTAAAAATCACCTCAGAAACCTTTCTCTTAATCTACTATTCACATCACCTTCCATATTTTCTACAACAAGTTATTCTCAACAGAAACAGAAATGTCAAGGTTACCTTAAACAGAAAACAGAACTCTAGAAGCCAAATAAGTGAAAACAAACATTTTTCTCCCCTAGCCAATTCATCCCCAGGACTAGGAGCTATGAGACATGGTTTTATTTGTTTAAGTTATCTTCCTTGCATGCTAGATGCTTTCCAAATATTTAAAGCTCAGTGATAGACAGCTTCATGAATAATGTGCTTCATTTCTTGCAGTTAGCATCTGAGTCACCGATGCAGGATAATGGCCCTGGGAGCCCTTGGTTCCTGAAAGTGCTCACGATGAGGACATAATCCTCAGACTCAAGTGGAGTGTCAGAGAGTGCTGCTCTAATGCAAATAGGCTCAGTGGCTCCAGGTACTATAACTTGAAAGGGGGAGATATGCCAACTCTGCAATAATGTTATCTAAAATAGAAAAAAACCATTTAGTAACTTCTGTAATGTGTGCTTCTGTGCAGATAGGAAGTCATGCTCAATGAAAGCAGGGTGCTACTCCATGTAGCTAAAACATACTCTTGAGCCTGTGGGGCATGAAATTTAATTTCAGTGCTGCCAAGGAAATACCAAAGCAACTAGCAATTGATCTATAAGCTTCACAAATACTCAGGGCAAGAAGTTGGTTCTTCAGTATGAGGACATTGAAAATGAAAAAAAAGAAGCAATCAGTCTGTCTTAGTTACTTTTCTCTCATTGCTGAGATAAAATGCCTTACACCTGAGATTAAAGGAGAAAAGGTTTATTTAGCTCACAGTTCACAGAGGTTCCAGTCCATAATCAGCTGGCTCCAAGGTAGGATGCCTTGGCAGAGAGGGACAGTCATGGCGAGCATAAAGTAGGAAAGCAATAAACCTGGGAGACAAGCTTCTTTCTGCCCTTTTTATCTTATCCATACTGCTGGGATTAAGGCAGTGCCGACCCAATCAGTGGACTGGTCCAGTAGTCACCCACTCTTAATCCAGCACCCTTGGTCCTAGGATTCCACTATGAACCAATCACAGCCCTCCTCTCTCTTTGCTTCCCCAGCAGCATGAGGTGAGCAGCTCTGCTCTGCCCTGTGCTGCCCACCCTTCTTCCTCTCCACAGGCCATAGCAGACGAGCCAGCTGACTATGGAACTTCTGATGTTGTGATCCCAAATCACAACGTCAATGTCCATCTTGTAAATTGGATTCCCATGATATTTTGTCACATCAGCGGAAAGCTGCCTAAACAATCTACATATCATTATGTGTGTATATGCTGTTGTTTGAACTCTCCTTCCTCACTACGTTGAAGTACCAGCATTGTCCCTGAATGTTACCCCTGTACAAGAGGATGGCCAGCCTCTTATTTGCTATGAGCATGTGTGCAGCTTTTCTAAAGGCAGTGTTAATTAATTTACACTAAAAAGAAAGGAAGTTAAAACATAGTTCTGTTTTGCAACGTTCACTGTGTTATGGCTTGTGTCTAAATGTCCACCCAAAGCTTCATGTGGTCATAGGGTTTTTTCAGAGGTGGTTGAAGCCAGTAATAATTCAAAGAGATTACATATAATAGTCACATTTGTTTGCTGTAGGTATAGCAGTTCCTTTAATACTTGTAAATCAATCTTATATTTTATTGCATTAATAAATTATGGGGGAAATCTGATCTTCTCATATATACAGAAAAATCATTTGATAAAATTCAACAGCTGCCCATGGTGAGAATTTTTACCACACAAGGGAAAGAAGGAAGTTTCCTTGATCTCATAAGGAATATCTATTAGAAACCTAGAGTTATTTATAGCTACATGGACGCACCTTGAGACCATGTTCTTAAGTAAAATAAATTAAACATACATACTTAAATACTGCATTATTTCTCTGCTGTGAGAAACTGAAAGTGTAAATAAGAATTAAATATATGATAGATAATAGATATTGTGAAATAGGAAGAAATTGTTAAACAGGAAAGGGGAATGGTAGTGGTGGAGGGAAGGGAAAAGAAAAAAATGAGAAAAAAAAGGGTAACAGAAACAAAGCTTTGCAAGTAAGGAGGGGAAGAGGGGTTGAGGGGAAGGGGAGGAAAATAGTGGAAAAAAGAGGAACTAAGATATAGCATGCATAGGTACAAGTTCCCTATAATGAATGTGATCATTATGTATATCAAAATTGTACCCATAAACTTAATAAAAGCAAAGTTAATAGTCAAAATTACACTTGGTGGTGAAATATCAACTGTTTTCTTCTAAGATTTGGAAAAGATCACTGCTTCTATTCAACATTGTTCTGGGAGATCTTACCAGGAGAAAAATCCTCCTCAAAAAATAGCCAAAGATTGAAACATAAAAACTAAAACTACCTCAAATCAGAGTTGACGTTTCTTTGTTAGGAAATCCTCCCAAAATTATACATCACTTGAATGAATAAGTAAATTTAGCAATATTTTGATAAATGTATACAAGTGTTTTAAATTGGGTATTATTTCTAGATAGTAGCAATAAAAACTTGAAAATGAAACTT